CTGAAATTTCTCTATGTTTGATTGGCATTGATTTCATGAAACCCATATTTAGCTAGAAAAGTTTCTTGGAAGTAACCAGAATCCTCGGCACGACACCCGGAAGACACTTTGACATCAGAAATATATTGTACTATACTTAAAATCTACGAAAATCATATATTGTAGTATATGTTTGATGATGAAAATATTATTGAGGATACCATTGTGCATATGTATATTTCAAGCATATAGCTAATCCCTACATTTTCTTTAGATAACAACATCAATCCTTTTGTTTATGTCTGACTCACACCAGTGTCCAAAACATTATGGACAGACAGGGTTCGATGAATTGGACCATTCGAGTACCATTTTTGAGTTATTCAGAGGCTGTTGATTCTCTCATCACCTAAGCCAGGTATGTGGGTGTCTCAAAGAGAATAAGCACAAGGAGACACCTGTGAGCATATATGTCCGGTCCGAGACATAAAATATAGCAAGGTTGTGTGTCTGTCATATGTGTGTGGTGTGCTGGTGTAGTGGTTGGGCTTGCTGCTAGGTTGTGCAGCGCTGTTCCAGCCAGCAAACAAGCAACCAAAATGGGAAAACAACATACTAGGAGAATTGGTGAAGTTGTTCGTGCGACTGATACCATCTGTGCGTCTGTCTCTCTCTCTAACCAAGTCATCGATCGATTTGTATGTATGAATGCAGAAACGTATAAAAAATACAGTATGATCGATCGAACTGACCCAAGAGAAACAACAAGAGAGACACCCATCATCCTCCATAAAATACGCAGGTTTGTTCAAAGCTAGCTAGTCATGCATGTAGCATCAGGACAAAGATAGAGACAGATGGATTAAGATATGAATGAACCAACAAAGCTTCTACCACTTGATTGTAATTACCACTAAGCCCTTCCTCTCCATTGATCCTACATGGTGCATGCATTGCTTGCTTGATTGGGTAAAAGGGGTGGAAGCTGGAAGGTAAAAACATAGAATTAACATTAACACACTACATAAGAAACTCTAGTTTGTTTCACCATGGTCCATGGATGCCCTTGCTAGCTACTTGCAAGCAGTCTGTAACAAGAGTAACAACAGCATCGAGATCGATCGATTGATTGATGGTTGAGGAGCATAATTAACAGAGGAGATAGGAGTTGATAATGGATGAGCTCTTAGCTTCGGTTCCGTCCCTCCATGTGCGTTGATGGATCGGTCGATGATCAGTAGGGCGAGACGCGGCCGCCGCTGCCGCCCGGGGTGGTCCAGCCGTAGGGGTCGCCGGGGAGCTGCTGGAGGCCGTTCATCAGGTTGTGGGGGATGTGGTGGTCGGGCGCCTGCGCCAGGGAGGAGGACGGCTGGTGCTGCTGCTGGAGCTGGTGTGTCGGCAATGGGAGCGGCGGTGGGGAGGAGTGCGCCTGCGCGAGGCCCTGCGCTGCGGATGGCTCTTCGTCGTCGAGGGGGAGGCGCTCGTAGGAGGCGTTGCCGAAGGAGGCGGCCATGATGACCACGGGCCCGGAGGCCACGAGCGCGCCGGCGACCGTGCCGCCCACGACCTGGCCCTGGCCGCCGGAGACGTACACGGTGAGCCCCGTGGCGGACGGAGGCGCCGGCGGGGGCAGGAAGGAGCCGGAGAGCGAGAGGATGTCGAAGCAGCCGGCGAGCGTGGCGACGGCGCCGCCGGGCTGGCGGACGGAGACGTTGGCGACGGCGCCCGTGCCGCTGAGCACGCAGACGCCGACCTGGCGGCGGCGCGCGAAGGCGGCGACGCAGTCGACGACGTCGCATCCGGCGGCGACCTCGAGGACGTGCGCCCGCAGCGCGCTGGCGCTGTCCCGCGTGATGATGACGGGCGGCTTGGGCTTGTTCTTGGACCCCGCGGGCCGGCCCCTGGGCCGCCGCATCACCGCCAGCGCCTGCTGCTGCTGCTGTTGCCCCTCCTCGCCCCCTCCGCCGCCCGCGTGCTGCTGCTGCTGCTGCGCGGATCCTCCTCCTCCTCCTCCGCCGCCGCCGCCCATGTGCTGCTCGCCCTCGCCGCCGCTGTTGCCGTTGTTGCTGCCGCCGCTGTTGATGGTGGTGTTGCTCTCGTCCACGAGCTCCTGCTTGGCCAGCATCCCGCCGAGCAGCTGGTGGTGGTGGTCCTGGAAATGCTGGAACGCCGGGTGCTGCTGCTGCAACGGCCGCTGCTGCCCCGGGAAGTGGCCGTGGAACGGGTGGAACGTCCCCACCGGCGGCCCGAAGTGGTGCCCCCCGCCGTGCGCCGCCGCGGCCACCGGATCCATCGCCCAAATCCCTGCCGGCTACGCTTGCAAGCAAGACGAACGCGGTGACGACGACGGACGACGGACGGTGGAGTGGTGGAGGCGGTCAAAGCTCAGAGGCCGGGTTTT